GATGGATGGATGAAGGATGGAGGATGGATGGATGATGGATGGATGGATGGATTGATGATGGATGGATGGATGGATGGAGGATGGATGATGGATGGATGGATGGATGATGGATGGATGGAGGATGGATGGATGGATGGATGGAGGATGGATGGATGATGGATGGATGGATGGATTGATGATGGATGGATGAAGGATAGATGATGGATGGATGGATGAAGGATGGATGAAGGATGGATGATGGATGGATGATGGATGATGGATGGATGTATTGATGGATGGATGATGGATGGATGAAGGATGGATGATGGATGGATGGATGAAGGATGGATGAAGGATGGATGATGGATGGATGATGGATGATGGATGGATGTATTGATGGATGGATGAAGGATGGATGAAGGATGGATGATGGATGGATGAAGGATGGTTGATGGATGGATGATGGATGGATGAAGGATGGATGAAGGATGGATGATGGATGGATGAAGGATGGATGATGGATGGATGAAGGATGGATGAAGGATGGATGATGGATGGATGAAGGATGGATGAAGGATGGATGATGGATGGATGTATTGATGGATGGATGATGGATGGATGATGGATGGATGAAGGATGGATGGAGGATGGATGTATTGATGGATGGATGATGGATGGATGAAGGATGGATGATGGATGGATGTATTGATGGATGGATGAAGGATGGATGAAGGATGGATGATGGATGGATGTATTGATGGATGGATGAAGGATGGATGAAGGATGGATGATGGATGGATGAACTGATAAAATCAGTTTAGTTTTAATATTGAATCAGTTTTCTTACCTGACAAAGCTGAAGAGTAAAAAGTTAAAAGATGAAATAATTCCTGTTTATGTCTCAACACTAATGGACCTGTATCATGTGGGACACTCTGACCTGAAGCCATAGTATAATCCAACCCATAGAGCCCTTTAATCCAGGTATAATCTGGACTGGAGTATTTTTTGGACTGTTCCACCAGCCTGGTGCTCTTTAAGTCTTTGTCTGTAGAATAAATGAATTATAGTCATAACTTCTGCACAGAATGTTGCAATGTTGTGTGTGTGTGTGTGTGTGTGTGTGTGTGTGTGTGTGTGTGTGTGTGTGTGTGTGTGTGTGTGTGTGTGTGTGTGTGTGTGTGTGCGCGCGGCTCAGAGCTCTGTCTACCTGTCAGTAAACACAGAGACTGGACCCAGCAGAGGATCACAGGCACCCTGCAGCTCATCATATAATCTGTCTCAGTGTTGGTGTTATTAATCCAGCATATAGACCTAATCTAACGAGGATTTGCTGTGCAGGGATTGGTTACTTTGTAAAGCAGAGATTGTTCTGTTCCCAGCTGGCAGGGCTGAACTGACCTCTGAAGAGTTGTAACTGTTTACAGACTTTGTTTTGTCTTTTAGGACATTCTGGATGAGATGAGGAAGGAGCTGTCCAAACTAAAAGAAGAGCTTATTGATGGTAATTCTTCTGAACCATGAGCAGCAGTCAGACACCTTTCACATGTTAAACACAACAAACCAGTCAAACCTATACCTCCAGTTTACTTTCTTTACTTCATCATCTTCTGCTTCTGTTACTACCACTTCTTCTGTTACTACCACTTCTTCTTCTGTTACTACCACTCCTGCTATATAT